GACTTGAAATGGCCTGAAGGGAAACGAACTGTCAAGCGTGCGCGCACCATTGATCGATCGGAATCAAGTGGTGTGCCCCAGAAAGAACGGCATTCTTGAATTGTGGCTCTCCACCGGTGGCTGATGACCACGTGGACGGGTATAGGGCTGATGACCACGTGGTCCAACGGGTATAGGACGGTTACCAAAGAGAATCATGGAATGACTGGGTAGGGTAGGTCAACCATAGACATTGATAGTGATTGAGGCATACAGTCAGTGATCGTCGTTCACCTGCTCCTTCGCTGAAAAGACGATGTTAATATGCGATACGAAAAAGTTCTTCAAATAGCTGAACTGGTCCATCATCTCAAGCGGGTCTCGGGCTATATAGACACTCATTGTATTTTCATTCCAGTCTCCTAAGTATCACCCGCACAAGCAGTTGTTTATGCTGACCGAATCCGGTGGTGAAATTTCTCGAACTCTCTTGTCGCGGACCATCGGATGCGTGACTTTTGCTGCGATCAAGCAGCTAAGTCCGTGCATGCCAAATCGATGTCGCACATTAGGATCCCTCCATACCGCTGGAAGTCCCAAATGATGTGGGTTCATGTGACGGAATCTCCGACTTAGAATGTGCAGAAATTATTGCCGTAACCCGACTGTTGCCCTGCCCTCGGGCTACCTTCGGGTGGTATCGCGTGTAGACACTGAAAGGTTGCTACAGATGAGTGATTTTTTAGACACCACAAGAACCTCGCACTAAACTTCTGAATTCTTTCTGGCAATTTGGAACGTATTTCGCATCTCCCAGCGGAAAAACGCCATTGTCTTACTGGGGGAGGCTGTTTCGACGCAACTAGTGTTGGTGATGAACAGAATAAAGGAATTCTGTGGCCCGTTTGCGAACATGAAACTGCGACATCTCCGTGGTGTCTGCCACTTGAGAGGAGGAATTTATAGTGTGTACACTTCAATCTGTACTACCCTGATGAAATGTGGCCTTCATACACAGATGACCCTGTGTTCATTCATATCTGATCATCGGCGCATACAAAGTATTACCTTTATTTGGTGAGAAAACCATGTCAGCGACGAAGTTGCTCTCCGATGACCATTTCGCTAGAAAACCCTAGCACCCGTTTTTGTCGTTTTGGGCTATGTTATCCAAATACTTGCTCGTCGTCTGTCTTGGCAGGCGCTTTTCGATAAGCCAGAATCTACCCATAAAAACAATCTGAATGGTAGAAAATGACTCAACGCTGCAGTGTCAATACCCCTGTAACCCACATTGCGTCAGTTATTCTATTCTACTCGATTGGCGCCCAAAGAAGATCTGGTAATTCTTGGATGATAGCCAATGATGTAATGGTACAGAGCTAAGCCCACTGGCACAGATGTCGCTACGTTTTTCTACAGAGCTAAGCCCACTGGCACAGATGTCGCTAGGTTTTTCCCTGACGTAGGTTTTTCGTTACCTGTTACGGGGCACACTTGCCTATCACGATATATATATATATATATATATATATATATATATATAGTGAGCACCCGCTCGTTATTGCACGTCAACGTCAATTTTCAAGATATCGGTGTAGCTGGTGAAACACGCGGAAGCATGCTAATATTCACCGGGGCTCATAAAGTGACCGATCACTTCGCTTGGTTGGTCGCCATACGGAGTATTTAGTTTCATTTCACATTCTAGCACGTGTTCTGCATGTGATGCATTTTGTATTGTCCAGCACCATTCTCTACGGTACTTGTGCTCCTTTTCCCCTCAGGTCTATTCCCAAAGCTACTTGGGTCTGGGTTTAATGTCTGCGAGGTTCTCCGTCCTGCACACCATATCGAAACGCCTCCCAGCCTTACTTGCTGTTACACAGGAGCTCTATACACCTTGCTTCCCTCCAAGTGCTTCTGTAAGTATTTCAATCACGCGATATCTTCTATGTTCCTTTGCAATGCATATTTGTGTGGTGACCAGAATCATCAAGTGGCTTGTATTATAACGCATGCTTGAGTAACTACGCAAATTATCCTTCTTGTTGGTTCTTATGCAACATAATCTCATGGATTAACTGATGGAAAGGTTCATAATGCGCGTCCTTTCTGCGAGCTGATCTTTCTCTGCTTTTGTTATTAGAAATCACCAGAATGAATCTTATTGGTTCTGTGAAAGAAAGCACGCGCGGTAGCTACTTTTTTGCTGCCTATCCTACTGCAGCAGGTAATTTTCTTCGCCAATTTTCACTCCGGCACCCAACTAGTTGCATGTTCGGTCACATGATAGAGGAGCTTTCTGGTCACGTGCCGAGGCACTGTTTTAAACCCGCTTTTATCCTTTTACCACAGTGGGTGGTTTGACAGGTTCAGAAGCGCGCCAAACCTTTTAAGGACCGTGTGCCTGAAAATGGTTTTGGTCACATCATGTGCCCACTGGTTGCTTATTGTATTGGAGCTTGATTTTTTACCCGTCAAGTGAGTCTAACTCAGGACAATCCAAATTGCAGTTTTTAGGGTAGAACGCTTCGCGAAAATATCTAGGTCACTCTGGGCACAGGCTTTTGAAATCGCGGACGAATGCCGCGTTCCATAAGTCTAGCTTCTGTAGCCTAAGGCTTAGTTTTTATCAGCACAACGGGAAATTGAAATCGGAGCATGGTCACAGATTTGAATTGTCTATGGGCTCGAATGAGGCGGAAGTCGGGTCTAATGCTTCCTCGCTTTGATGTGGACGAAGCAGAATAATTTCAAGACAAGATATGTGAAGACAGATCTCTCAGATCTCGCAACTATCTACTTCTAAAATTACCAGAACCGACACATCGAAAATTCATATGGCCTTGGTCTTTGGGAACTTCTGATAGGGACGTTACAGTGCAAGCTTTCGTCACCATTTTTGTCGAGCAGTCCAACACGGTTGCATTTGTCGAATTATTCATGAGTGACTGATATCTAAACGAATTTCGCTGGTCATCACTGGTTTATCCGTCGGATTGCTTCTTGTGACTGAAAGACAATACTTTGTACAGGACTGAATTTGGTAATGCGTGCATGCTGTTGATGTCGATTTGGATTCCAGAGTATAAAATCGGCGATGAAACACGGACCGGTCACTAGCAGCTACCAGTCGATATAAATCTGATTGAATAAGAGTGAACATTGACATCAACTCACATATTTCTGGCTACGCAGGGAAAATCAATTCCCTTTCGAGTGAACCACTTGATTTTGGCTTGGAAGCGTTTCAAATCTGCGCACATAACCGCCACCATGGCATATCTGTCGAGTTTCAGGTCCTCACACGTTTAAAATAAAAGTTACAATTAGCAAAATACACTCATTTGAAAACCAATTTGGTTGTGCGGGAGGCTAACCTGGAATCCAGTTGAATCTCTCATTTATGAGCAGTGTATTACGTTAACAAAAGTTGCAATTCTCCACAATACCGAAACTCTTAGGATTTTCGATTTGGAACTTTGTTTCTCAACTAATCATAGATAGGTCCGTTGGCTACTTTTGGTCGTTTGTTTTAAGCGGTCTAGCCAGCGCAGCACACTACTATCCCTCATGTAACATTAGGACATCCATATCTGGTTCGTGGCTTTTCCTTTTGGCGCCTGGAATTGTTTGGGGCCCAAGTGTCGGGCACTACGCTTCGAAGAAGACCGCATGTTTGTCTTACTTCCTCTTGATCATACACTGGCACATTTTGGCATTTTTTCAAGGCATCTCCCTCTTTCCTTGACTCCTTTGCTCACCTTCTCCAAGATATATTCCCATCTCTTTTGTTTATCGTCGATCTTTACAGGTCGACTGGTCCCACGCTGGACGAAACTGGAAGGTCAGACATCTCCCGTGGAATCAATCTGAAGGCCTTTTGCTCCAGCAGGAATTGAAGGATGCCACTGCCTCACTGGAATTAAACCCAACGCCTCGCATCTTAACTTCGTGCTACGCATTTGCAAGAAGCGTTCTGCGCGATCCTGTTGATGGTACGTTTCCTCATCTAATATTGTCGGGTTTCGACTTCTTACATTTCTGTTAAGCCTTCATCAATCCCCAGAGGAGCTACCGTTTAGATAGTTATGTTTCCATCGGAGCAAGCTGAGTCACCTGTAGCAGATAACGTGAAAGGGCAAACAAACTGTGTCTAGCCGCACAACACTGCTTATCGAATATCATTTTACCATGTCCGAAGGCACGCCTCCTTTCGTGATTTGGAACTCACAGTCGGCTAATGACGGTCAACGTCCTAATAAGCACTTCAGGAGCCTCTTTCTCATCTATGGAACCCGGCGAATTCTACCTTTGGTGGCAAATTAAGTTCTCAATTTGAGGTCAAGTGGGAAGTAACCACCTGAATATCACACTCTATACCACCTCTACACTACCATATACGTCTGTTAGGTCGGGTGACATTCCCATAATGGGACATAATCGCCATTTTCCATCGCTACAGTCGCATTCTAAATTTCATCTTCCTCAATTAGGGACATGAATCAAAGCAAAGCCACTAGGTGACCTATATGTAGACCACAAGACTCCTGAGTTTCCCGCCAGTTTTCTATTTCGCCATATCCTTCAAAAGTACACGTTACTTTCTTCTCACTGTTCCATTTCTTTGTGCTGTCTAGAAAACGGACAAAACGCATCACTAACCGATGAACGCCTTCAAGCAACAGAATTGTATCGATTTGTTAGTTCAGTACATGAGCATGTCGCTGTTGTGAATTTACAGGAACGTGTTTGCTTTGGTTCTGTCTATTCACACATACCAACTTCTGGTGGTCCGTTTATCCGTATTGGTTTCCTTTTGGACTACGTACATTTACCTCTCTAAAGGTGACCCTTCCATTGAGTGGAGACTACCCAATGGAGTCCACAACAAGCGCACGGGAATTTGGAACTGTATTTTGGCGTCCATCTTACTCAGCTACATTCACTTCTAACCTGTTTGCAGGCCAAACAATTTCCACCTAATTACGGTCCTCGTAGATGGTACGTTTAGGAATAAATGGAATGGACATCCATCATATTATAACGAGGAGACTGACTGCCAGGTAAACCACTTATTGCAGATCGCCAATCATGCAAACTACAGGCCGGTCTGGCTACGGGCGGAATTCCAACTCGTGTTACTCAGTATTAGCCTATCCGGTGGTTCTGCGTACTTGATGGGTTTCTTGTTTGTTTCTGTGTGCTTTTGCTCAGCGGAACATCGGATCGCGCTGCATGTTTATTTGTTCGACTGCTCCAAACGTTCCTCATCCGTTGAGCTTCAGTACGGTACTGTGTCACGCTGCGCTTGGATTACAAAACTTCGGAACCAGTATTCGTTCGACCTCTGCCTTTCTCTAAGAGTGGTTCGGACGGGTTACTTTATTCGGAATAGGCCCAATTGTTCCCAACAAGCGACATCGGTTTGCCTCTTTACCCCGTTCACATGTTTTTATCTTGAACACGATATACGCAAAACAGCCTGACGACCATTAGTGTATAGCAGACAAGGTCACCTACTGACGGCTGGGTACGGGACAGACGACGAAGCTCACACCAGAAGTAACCCGCTAAGCTGACTGCCAGCCGCATGTGGATTCCGGCTGCTGTGGATTCGTTCACCGATAATGCAGAATATAAGGAGTCAGTCACGTTTGGGAAGCCACTTCAGTCTTCAGAAAATGTATTGAGTTAGTGTAATAACAAAAACGGTCGGATGGGATGACAACAATTAATGACAGGAAAAGGGTCATATAAATATCTTAATAAAGTTTGGCATGCTAAACACACCGTGACCGAAGCCGGAAACACATCTGTGTCTAAACGTGAAATGGCCACAAAAGCTTTGTTGCGCGGTCCACCGGAAGAAATGGAATGCGACTTACCCCAGAAGTAAGGACGTTGCTAACCCAAACAAAATCCTGTGTGGATTTCCCCACACTACGGTCCTGCTTACATACATTGGACTTGGCTCCTTTATTAAGTTTAGCCGTACACCATATACCAAAACTAATCTTGATTTGTGTTCTTTTCCACTCGTATTCTTAAGGTGTGTGCTTGCTGCTGGCCCCATTTTTCCCAGAGCATGACTAGTACATCATGCTGTCTGATCGGACTTCTCTGGATAGTGGCCTACTAAAGGGAATCGGGACAGCTGCGCATCGAAGGTGATAGTCTTGATGCAGGAGCGTCACCGGTTGCGCATCTGGCGCCGTTGGTGGCCCGTGTTGTGTCTTGGATTCCATCCAGAGAGATGAATGCTGGCAAGGCAGCTGAGTTTACTGGCCAAGCATTTCACATTTCGTTGCTAATTTATAACTTGAGCGCCTTCCTGTGGCTTTCACTCAGTCTGGCAAAAGGAACTGTGCGAGGTCAACGGTTTTTAGATATGCGCAATGCGAATCCTGATCAGCATAACCTATGGAGTGCGATAAGCTCGTCCATCGTTTGATTACCTCTTTCAAACCACCAGCCTCGTCTCTTTGGCTAATCCAGTATTCCTACCAAATCCGACTAATTATCGGGAGAAAACTGGGGTTAGATGTTGTCACTTTTGTTATTATAGTAGACATAGATCAAACTGTCGGCTGGGTGAACTTATTTAACCAAACTGATGTCGCACGGCATCCTTACGTGTTTTACTAAGCTGATTGCCTTCTGGATTCCAGGTGTGGTTTCATCTTCTACCAATGCAAATGCGATCCGAATGAATCTGTCTACCACTTGGGTTGACTCTTCAGTAAGCACTAGACTTGAGTTTGATTCCACTCAGTTTCACGAAAACACGTAACACTACAAATTTGAAGGGTATATCGATCTGAACGGCAGGGTTAATTTGGTGTGAATGCCTGAGGAATCTCATCCAAGAAACAATATCGTCCGCTTATCCGATGTCTTCGAGCGCATGACCTGGAATCAGCTGGAGCCCAGAGGTGTCAGAGACAGAAGGCGGAGGTTTTAATGGTCTGTCAATAACAAAATTGAAGAGCGTGGCGTTACCTGGCACAACTTGACTTGGGCACGCATACTTTTTAGGTAATACATCTAACATCAGTAAACATTGCTATGGTTTTTGACGACCGACAGAATCAGAAGAAGAACACCTGCTGTTCGTCGTCAGGGGGGTATTAGTGTTCCAATACCTGCCCTAAATTGGAAATGCATTCGGCGCACCCGTAACTGGGTCGATAGCCAGGCGAATTCTCACGTGTTTGGCTCATGGTGATCGACGAACTTGCGCAGGACAGTACCAAAGAACAGCACATTGGACACAATTACTTTCGGCCGACCCATTGATGATCTTCTCAGGTTTCTCCCCACTCACTGGAAAAGCTGAAATTGCAAAAACGCGTAGTTCGATGCCACCACGAAGTGTACAATAAACCTCACTGGAAACCCGAAGGACTCACTCTGGTGTGTTTTATGTGCCGTAGTTTAAAGTCACTACTCGTTCGACGTAACAAGGTTATAGGAAAATTCGGTTGTGTTATCCAGTTGGCTTAGTAAAGTGCACATGTTATTGGTAATTAGGTTTGCATGTTACCTGCAACCAGTCCTCTAACTTCCCTAATCTTTCTTACCTCGCTTTAGGTGACTCTGCTTCCCCTGTCTACGCACCGCATGCATTCGTTATACATCGCCCCGAGGGCATTGCTGACCGAGAATTCTACGCCTTTTCGTATATTTTTGATCTCGCCTTGCACGTTGGTCTCATTCAAGATCACTCAGGCGGCCAGGTGACACTTGCTCAGTTCCGCGATGCAGCCGACAGAGGTATGTCCGCTATTTTAACTGGGTTGTTAACTCTAAACCGCTGCGAAACAGCCGATTCTGAACCCTAATCATGATACTTTTTCGTTCATCTTGTGTGCATTCTAGTCTGTTTGAAACCCAATCCAGAACAGCCGTTTGAGTGCATGGATTTGACTTTTATCACTGCCCTTCTCCACGACGGCTACGGCTTTCCCTGGCATAAGAGCATCACGGTAAGAATGTTTTTCTCATTCAATCCCAATCACTGTCATTTCTGTTTGGAAACATAACTGTATCGACGCGCGTCCCAGTTTAGTTCTTCAGTACGCCGGCTGGACTGGTTAAAGTCGTTCCACACTGTGGAGACCTTTTTGAAAGGGATTGGATTTTCTTGATGGCCAGGCTGAACAAAAATAACTTCTTGGAGACCGGTCTATCTATGATGGATTGGTTGTTTGTATCTTTCAGCTAGCTTATTTTACTGATTGACTGAGGGTTACTTGTACCACTCATAACACGCAGCCAAGTGACAGACAGCTTATCGGCTTCCGCTGGAAGTGAAACAGAGAATAGCTAAGCAAGCTTGCTCGGTTTATTCACAAATAGGAGTCATAATGAGTTCACAACTGGTAAACGGGTCTCTAATAGGTTGTTGTAATTTTTCCGTTCGACAAAGGTCCTCGCACTGTCTGCTGCCCTGATGTCCTGTCACACTGTGTGGACGAGTCAACCGGCCTGCTCCAGAAATTGTTACATCTTCAAAATCGTTTCGCTTCCTCGATTTCCCGGGGGTCCCGGTAGTCATTTGTCCGCGAGCCAGCTCAAGCCATGGCATTTCCTATTATCAATAATATTATTAGCAGAGCCGAACGGTTATCGCATCGAGGCAGAATTTATATGACAGGATAGTCACATTTGCTCGTGCAATGACGGTTTCTTATAGTCGCCCTCTTCCGTCATCCTGGCCTGTTGATTACTCTGTGGGCGAAGAACTAATTCACGCTTTTTTGAAGCATCGCTTTCACAAATCCATCATAATTTCGACCCTAGATCAATGGATGCTGTGCACAAAATTTTTCCTGTAGTTCTCCACATGATTACAAGCCTGCGATGCAAGCGGGGGAATTTCTAGACTCAAGTTTTGATGAGTATGAGTCATACTGCTACTGTATAAGCACCACCTGTGTGTCGAACCGTCTCTTGGGTTTGGGTTACCTAGGAACTAGTGGAAGCTCCGACGGTATTCTCTTTGGGGGTCGTTTTCAACGTTAATCACAATATACCCGGTGAATCTCCATGAGGACGCTGCCAATCACTTAGCGATTCGATGCAAATATTTCATCCATAGGTTACTCTTTGGTTTGGTTTTGCGGGGGTTTATCTGTTGGAGAAAGAAATTTCTGATGGAATTTCTTTTTCGTGAAGCGCCCATTCTCGGCTCATTTCAGGATGCATTTCGAATTCAGCCATGTTAGACAATCACCAAATCGTTCAGTCCGTTTGTGAAACGCGGTAGGTCGATGGCTCCGCAGGACCCAGCGAGAGAACGATTTTTTAAAACGACCTACGAGCGGCAACATCTGAAGTGATAGATATCTGAATGAAGTTCACAGGCCTCATCGACTCTGTTGAGTGGCGGAGTTGGCTGTAGATGGCATGTGTATCTGTACTCAGTTCGTCCATTTGTTTTGGCATCATACTCGTACTCCACAGTACAAGTTACTACATTTTACCTTACACCGTAACTGTTCACTGTATTTGCTCGATTGGAACAGTGCAATGCACGGAAGGGTTAATTAAAATATATGTTGGACCCGCATTGTTGCGGCCCGGGTACCGTTGACGTGACAAGATGTTCGCAAGCCCTCACTGAGGAGATCAAATAAGGTAGGGTTCAGATATTCTCACGTACACGCATGTCATATTTTGAATGGCAGGGGTTACCAGAACATACGCGTACTTTAACGCATAGTGTAGAACCACACGGGGGGTCTTTGTTTAAGGGTTAAAGAATGGTTGTGAGGATACGCTTCTGACGCCATAGATTGCCCCGTGGTATATCACATTACACGATATCGGACTTCGGTGGCAAAATTTTCGATACCATCTTGTTGTACGGCTGTCTTGCTTCATCCAATTCGTATTGGATTTTCGACTCAGAGTTTTTTTTTAATTTAGATTTGCTTACTTTGTCAAGCTAACCAACGCGAGACGATGCATTCTGCTGTGCTTTCAGTAGTATTTTGTCTCCTCTTCTTCCGTTCAGCTACAAAAGAAGATCAAATCGTTTGAAGTCAGTTGGGGCTTGGGAGCTTTGTTTGCTGAACTTTCAATGCGCCGTCGTTCATGAGACATCCGATTCACTCCTAGCGTTTTCAACCTCATGTCCGACCGTTTTGTCTTCTCCCTAACCCTATCTGTCTTCCACTGTCTCTCCATTACGTTGTTTCACTTACGCTTATTTTTTTTCAAATATCTTGGCGTGTGTGTATGTCCCACACCCAAACTAGTCTTTTTTGTGCATCTACTACTTCGGGCTTTCAACTTTCAATACAGTGGACATGAATGTGGTGAGAACAATAAATATTGTTTGTGTCAAATCATCCAACCAGTTGTGCCGTTTTTTTCACTTTTCCTGGTGGGTCTTCCTTTGTGGGGCGGGAATCAGTTGAAAAACACCGCAGACCCCCGGTCGTCCACATCATGCGACACGATGGATATGTTTGACTACGGTTCATCCAAACGGTTACATTAGTCTGATCCTTTGAGGCACGCTTGTGGAGCAACGTGAAATCAAATGCCGCAGTGCTGGAATTGGACCTAGCGGCCGTACTTGGTTTTGCTTCAAGGGGGAGGTGCTATGTATACATATAAACAGCGATCTTTCAGGTCCCATTTGGAAGAGCTGTTTCATGAGCTCTTCGGGGCAAGATCAAATGTCAGTGTACGGCGCCGTGAGAGTTGTACGAAAATTTGTTACAACTGGTCGGTAGCAATATCATTTTGCAACCATTTTACTCACCTCGCCAGGAGCAGCAACCTGAGAATAATTTGGTTAGACAGCAGCGGTGAGTAGGAGATCCGTCTATCTTGGTTCCATTGGTGTTTGAGATGCGTAGGTATTCACCGATACCTGTGTCGTGATGGCGGACTAGTAGCTTGGATAGGATAACCTAGCTTGGGTTTCCTCAATAACGTCGAGGGTGTCGAGAAATACACTCATTTGCAAATCAATTTGGCTTTCACGGGAGACTCAATTGAATCTTTCGTTTATGATGTCCTCCAGCTGAATGTGCTGCACACAGGTCGCCTCATGATTCAGTTGGCACGATATTCGAGATATCGCAGTATATTTTCATTTAGGAAACTACTCGAGGAGTTTTCAGCAACCCACTCAACCCTGCACTGACGTCACCTCGATTGGTGATGAAACGTTTGCAATCCAACTGCCAAGCTCGGCGAACAGACCACCAACCGAAGTTATAGAATATCATAAACGAGAGATTCAATTGAGTTTCCCGTGAAAACCAAATTGATTTGCAAATGAGTGTTTCTCGAAAACGGTGCAATTTAGGTTCAAGTAGATCATAAGGTTGACGGAAACTCGGGGACTGCGCCTACCTGATGAGTCCCAAGAAGGGTGAAACCGGTCGTGGGTTGTCGAAGAGTTTTCAGCAACCTTGTGAGTAGTTTCCTTTATGAAAAGTCGAGGTTGGCTTGAAACAGCTAAGAAGCCATCGACCAGCCGGCTTTCAATCTATAGCACGTCCTCCGGAACTGTCATGTGGCCCTTGAGACAGTCGGATTCATGACGTATTTTGTGGAATAAAATGACGGGCTCTACAGGGTATAAAAACATTAGAAATCGGGCCGGGACCGCATCCTGTTGGTTCTCTTGAGGAGTGGCCTACTCAGAGTACTACCTTCTGATAGCTTGATGCACCAGAGTTGTGGTAAGCCACAAATGAGCATGGGACACCGGAACAGGATCTATTGTATATGAGTTTCCCGGTCCGGGCATAAAAGTGTCCAAGCGTACTTCTCGGTTCACTGGTGTTCGGTATGTACAGTACGAGCATCACAAGTGAATTGTTAGTTTTGAGTTTTCCGTTCACATCTGTTTGATATTCAAAAGTTGCATGGATGTCGTTCAGTGTAGGTGACGCAGAAAGTAAGTAGGTCGTACGAAAGCCCAACATCTAATCACCGTCAAGCTTTATGTGCGACAAGTGGCGTTCCTACACGTTAATCAAGGCCCTAGGTGTTATTGTGCCACCCCCATTGAGATACGAGTCCGGGCTTGATTATTTTGAAGTGAAGACTAAGCAGGTACGAATAGAGTGATCATGTGACGTTTCCCCAAAGGGGCAATAAAAAATGGACAACATGCGAATTCAGCTGCCGGGCATCCCTTTAGAGAGAACAAATTTTCGTTTTTCAAGGTGTGAACTCAATTTGGGGTTATGACGTTCAGGAATATCTGAACTCTCATTAATTTGGCTTTTGGGCCTGGAAAACCCCACACGTATTCCATCCATATTGTGAGCGCTCGATTCGTCACTCAAATGAGTTTTAGTTGGTGAGTTTGGAACCCATAAAAAAGGCGGATCACAGGACCGATCCATTCCCGCTCCATAAAACCGTTAATCGGTTCAACTGAGCTTTAGTCATAGATCGATCCCGTCTCTCCCTATTTGACTTGGTTAAGCTGAGACCGTTCTTGTTGTAGTCGTGCTTAAATTCAGATCACTTGAAAGCTGGTGATTGATTCACTGTTCTCTGACAGCATTAGCCGATGTCACGTTTTAAACCAGGCCGCTTCTATTGATTAAAATGACGGCATTTAGGGTATGAATTGCGGCATTCTTTCCATCATGTATATGAATTTAATGTACGATGGTTGGGCACATGCCTGGTTCTGTTAGAAGCCGTTAACAGAGCACTTCCTAAGCTTCCGGTCTAAATCTTGTGTTCAAGATATAAGAAGAGTATTCGTTGCATATAGCGATGAGGCTTCTTTTGGCTCTCTGCATTTCCTCCAGCGCTATTCACAAGGCCTGAAACATCACTTTGTGTGGCACATTGATTTTGTTACCTGTTTCTGGTGACTTAGAGCAGTGATTATCGATCGTGAGACAGACCTTGGACAGGATTGTTGAACATTACGTTCCTGGTGCTTGTTTCAGTAATTGGGTTTGCGCATGCAACAATCAGTATTGAGCAACCCTGGACATGAATCCAGTGTGAACTAGAAGGCCCAATAAACAATAGAAAATGAATGCAACCGATTGCAAACAAGGCATTCTTGCTTCGAAAGAAATTCAGGTCTGATTGACTTGATCCGACAATGGACGTATCTAAGAGGTGTCCAGGACGGGACACAAAAAGTCCAGGTTATTAGTGCACAGGTGACGATATCCACAAATAAATTAGGTGTATGCACTAATAAAAGTCACGTCGGGCTCACCAGTTATTAGTGCACAGGTAGTGATAGCCATAATACAAATCAGAAGGTGTATGTGTGCACTAACAGAAGTTTTTAGTATTTCTGTGACGCGTATAAAAATAAATACAGTGCGAAAATGGGAGCAAGTCAAAAAGGGAACTTATCGTATATGAGAGTCCCTTGTTGGAAGTCCGGACGGCGGGAACGTGTTTTTCTCCGCAGTTAGACTGCTACACGTACTCCATGGTTGTCCGTGGACCTGTGGAGAGGTTGACGTCCTGCTCCGTGCGCGCGCGTGAGTCTGTGTCCTGACTGGGTTCGGTTTCCCTTTATGTAGGTCCCAGTGGGTATACGTGGGCGCGTCGGCACATGAGTGGTTGCTACGCTGACTAGGCAGTGCAGACAATCGATTTCCGATGAGTCAGCTTAATGCGACGTGTTTGTGCGTGTGAGAAAAAGACAAGCCTCGCGATCAAGTGAGCGACTGTGAGTTGAACAGTCAAGTATGTGGGTGACTGGGTCGCTACAAGGTAACCAAACGGAGTTCAGTTCGGTGACTGGTGTTTCCGTGCATTTTTACGCTGGTGATGCACATCAAGGAGGAACATTGTCGCTCCCCCTTGTTTTCCAACCAGCTGCTCAAGAGCGAGGCCCGTAAAGTCGACCAACAAAAAATATAGGTGAAAGAAAAGCAACGACCAAATGTTATATTTTTCCAGTAGGTTCACTCGGCAGTTTTTTTGTAGAAGCCATCCCACTACTTCATTATTATAATAAAACAGATATCAAAGGCGTTAGATACAACTACTCCGTGCTGAACTTTCATGTGTTCAAATGCGGAGCAATGAACTGCACGGTTGCGAAGGTTGCGTCTTGGACACGTGATAGGTTGGCTTGAGGGATCGGCAAGATGCGACCTCCACTGGTATTTACTCGTGGAAGGGGCAGTAAACATGAACAATGTCGTATATATCCTGCATCAGGGAGTGAATCTTTACTTGTATCTAGGTGTTTTAACCAGTCATTAAGAAAGCCTAATGAGATTTCCGTTCGTCGGATATCAGTGTAATCGATATCCATCGTTAGTACAGTTGTAACCTGTCATCTGGTCAGGGACAGAGTAATATTTTTTACACCCTTGGCAAACGAAAACGAGAACCATTAACCTGACGGCGAAAACAATGGGAGAACCGTATAAGTATCGTACGTTGCCTTGCCTCATTTGCTGAGTTTTTTAGTCGGTGTTAAAACTGATCTATTTTGACATTTGGGACGGTGCGCGTATTTTCGGCCAACCTATCATCTAATCAGGAAAATCCCATGAACACTGCAGCAGAATGTATTGCGAAACTAATCGTTTAGCATGACAGTGGAGAGTATAGAGCACTCCGGTTGTGGAGAAGTTAATCAGTGCCCTCAGAACGGAAGATGCCTATTCGAGATGTATGTTTCATTTGGCAAGCGAGGTCTGTCTGTGCGAAGCACTTTTAAACTGTTTCCTGATGGAACCTAGTGTGTATATCACGAATCTCCTTCCAGTTACACACTGTGCAACTCAGCCATGGGCGGCTGGTTAACAATATGACTAGCGTGCATTTAAACAGAATAATGAACGACTCTTTCGGCCGCACCCTTCTTTCCAATTGATATGGTGTTGCGTGTCACTGAGTGAGTAGTTTTTACAAGAAAGACCCACCAATATTTTGCGTGTTTCCTCTTCTGGATATTTTGCTTCCTTAGTTATTAATATATCCAACTGCTGTCCCTGTTCCAGTGCCGGAAATAGACTCGTCGACGAGGAACACAACAGCTTTATTATAAACAAACGAGTGTAGGGTACAACCGCCTTGTGCTGTACAGTGAAGGGCACTGTCTGACCTTGATCCAAGGCTGTCTGATCGGCGTTTATTTGAGTTTAAGGGTCTCAGTAGATTTCGGGCAATCTGGGATAATCTTCAGGAATCCGACATTCTTGACAGCTATGCGGAGGAAGAGAGATCACTTCACTGAGCTTCTTAGAGGACCCTCTGTCACCTCGGGTAGCAAGCGTATTTGCTCTAAACTCCGTCAGTCTGAACTAGGAACTCGGTCAAAGATGGCAGTCATCTTTCAGACGAATTCCAGTGGTGAATGGCCTTCAGCGTGTAAGA